TTTTTTGTGGATTTAATCATCTTATTGTCACTACCAACAATAAGCATGTCGTCAATATAAAGACATAAAATGACATAAACATTTTCAGTGTCTTTGACGTAAATACATTTGTCACACTCGTTGATTTTAAATTCATACTCCATCATGACATTATCAGATTTTTCATGCCATTGTTTGGATGTTTGTTTCAAGCTATATAATGATTTCACCAATTTACAGACCTTCTTTTCCTGTCCTGGTGATGAAAGCCCCTTGGATTATTCCATATAGATTTCTTCATCTAAATCTCTATTTAAAAAGAAAGTTTTAACATCCATTTGATATACTTCATGATTTCGCAAAGCCACAATCGCAAGTATCATCCTAATAGATATTATTCTCGTTATTAGAAAATATGTATCAAAGTAATTAAGTCCTTCTATTTTTTTGTAACCTTCTATTACTAATATGGCCTTAACTTTTCGATTGTTCCATCTGCTTTCATTTTCCTTTTGAAAATTCATTTGTAGCCTAGTGGTTTGCTTCCTGAAAGAAGATCCACTAGCTCTCATGTGTGATTTTGCACTTTTAATGGCATCTTTTCATTGAGGTCCTTATGAAGAATTAACAGTTTCTTGATAAGTTTGAGGTTCATTTTCTAGCATATAGGTAAAAAAATCACGACCATAAAATTTTTCCATTTCCCGTTTACTACGTCTAACCTCAATCTCATCTTCTAGCTCTTGATCTTGACTATTTTCAATCATAGTCTCATACATTCGTTTAGAAGAGCTTGCTTCCTATTTGGACCTGTACGAAAATACATGTTCAAAGAATGAAGCACTTCCTGATTCCAGTATCGTATTTTTGTGTATATCTGAGATTTTAGAATCATATACAAGAAATCGATAAGCACTACTATTATATGCATAGCCAATGAAGATGCAATCTACGATTTTTTGGGCTTATCTTTATCTTCTTTGGTGTTGGAACAACCACTTTAGTAAGACACCCCCAAACTCGTGAGTATTTATAGGAAGACTTTCTTCATTTTCCATAACTCATGAGGGCTCTTTTCCATTTTCTTTGGGGGCATTTTATTTAAAAGGTAATTTGCTGATAACACAATTTTTTCCCACATGTTCTGAGGTAACTAAGAACTCACTAGCATTGCGTTTATCATTTCTTTTAAGGTACAATTTTTTCGTTCAGCAACATCATTTTGTTGCAGAGAATAAGATGCAGTGGTTTCATGTATGATTCCATGTTGAGGACAGAATTCAACAAATTATGCTTCATACTCACCACCTCAATCACTTCGCAACACTTTAATTTTCTTATTAAGTTGATGTTCTACTTCATTCTTATAGAGAACAGATTTCTCTATGGCTTCGTCCTTTCTTTTAAGCGAACACACATAACAGTATTTTGTACTTTTGTTGACAAAAGTAATGAAATACTTGTTACCACCTCTTGTTTGTGCAAGTTTTAAATCACGTAAATCACTGTGACAACATTCCACAATTTGACAAATTAACTTTGTCTGACTCAAATACAATACGAAAATCATGCATATTCAAATGGGATTCTAACACAAGGTTCTTGCGAATTTCTGGTATATACAGAATATTGTTAAGAGTCAGCTCATTTCCCGATGTCATCTTCAGAACCACTTTTCATTGACCTTTGGTTTCAGAAGTTGCTAAATTTTTCATGAAAAACGTCTCTCCATTCTCGATTGTTTCGAACGCAGCAAACAACTCTTTATCAGAGCACACATGTCGTATAGCACCAATGTCAATCCACCATTCATTTTGGTTAACCCACCATGTTCACTTTAGAAATAACTGCTGCGAGATTCATTTTCGACACATCATGTGCCATGTAGTCAACCACATTTGCTTCTTTATTATTATTATTATTATTATTATTATTATTATTATTATTATTAGTCAACCACATTTTCTTCTTTATTATTCTTCTTCTTCTTCTTCTTCTTTGGCAATCTATACTCCGAAGACTTGTGGCCTATTTTGTCACAATTGAAGCATTTTTCTTGAAATTCGTTCTTAGAAATGCCCACTTTTGATCCTAGCTTAGCACCTTTGCCACCAAATATCCTAGGCTTGTTCTTTATACTGTTAGAACTTTAGCCATGCTCAACAACATTGGCCTTAGTCACAATAGGATTGAACTCTTTCTTTTCTAAACTTTTGTTGTCTTCTTCAATTTAAAGTCTAACAATTAGTTCTTCGACGCTCATTTTCTTTCATTTGTGTTTAAGATAATTCTTGAAATCTTTCCACGTAGGGGGCAATTTTTCAATAATTGCAGCCACTTGGAATTCTTGCATTTGACTGATTATTGTTTTGGAGTCCACAATGAATTTCATGGCCCCGACATCCTCAATCTAGTATTTTCGATCCAATGACTCCTATAACTCTTTAGCAGTTTTCGTGGTACTATACACATTGTATAGCGAGTCTACTAAGCCATTCATGAATTAGTTTCGGCATAGAAAATTCAAATGTTTTCAAACATCAACCGTATTGATCGCTTGAACATCTCCCTCACACTCATTGAGTTTTGGAGCAGTTTCAGTCAAAAATCTCGCAAGATTCAAGTTGGTCATGTAAAATAACATTATCTACTGCCACCTCTTGAAGTTCAAGCCATTGAATTTCTTTAGTTTTTCTCCACGATTAATTGAAACAGTAACAATACCACCAGTTGTTGGAGCCACAGTTTGACTCACAATATGACTTAGCAATTTAGCCACATCAGAACTTGGCCCTTGAGCTACAGCGGAGCCTACAGCTTGATTCAGTAGCAACATTTTGAGACACATCCATATTGGTTGATTCGGTTGCCATTTCTGAAAGACAAACGAAAAATTAGTTTCTAAAATCAACAATTTAAGAAACCAATTTTTTCTTTAATTTGGTTTAAGTTTGTTGGACTAAATGTTAGTGGATGAATACTGGATTAGCAAGTACCGGATGGACATATACCGGATTGACACATCCGTATATGCAATATACCAGATTTACGCATATCGTATACGCATCTTACCTTATTTGCAGCAGCTTACTAAACATGCCATTTAGATACTGGATTTGCACATACCGATTTTGCATATGTCGTAAGTGATGATCCGAATCCTTGACTATTCAAGTGTCACTAAATAGAACTTATATTTTTCCTTAAGAACAAAAATAAGAACACGAAATAAATTTTTTATTCAACAAGTAGATAAATTATGGTCTTATTATGTGGCTGCAGAAAATAATTTCAACATAACAACTAAACTAGAAAGTTAAAGTCGTGTTCTAAACACAATATAATTTATTAAACCTAGCCCATTATCATTTCCACATTGACTGCCTTGAACCATTAGTTACCACAGAGGAGGAAATATCATAGAGTGAGATCTATAAAATCTCAATAAGTATACCATGAATTATTATCGTGTATAACTTAAATGCGCATAATAATCATAATCAACATAATGAAGACACGAGAATTTTATCGAGCACAGATGGTAAGAATTCTTATGTGTAGCGCTACTAAACTCTGGTCCATTTAACATAATCATAATCATATCATATCATATAGGACCCATAATAATTTTCTTGAAATTCATAACATAACAATAATTAAACATAGGCAACATACTTACCGTGAAATTTGAAAGAAAGAGTAATAGAGACTTGATCCCTCTATAATTTTCACCTGGGCTTATGAACGTGTATGTGTGTATATTATTTAGACTGAAAAATATAATAGTGAGTAGTAGTATGTGAATGTGAATGTGAATGTGAATGAGGGGTTTAAATAGAACAAGATTAGGCATACATCTTTAAGGAAAAAATCATGATGGTGAAAATTGTTCCTTGAAATTTGTAAAATGAGCAAAAATCTCTCTCTCATTCCTACATTATTGCATTCACACTACATATTACCTTATATTTGGTCAATCAAGCATAAATCAAGAATTTTCTATGCAAGTGTTTGACCAAGAATTCAATCAAAAACATGTGGGAATTAGCATTTATAGTAAGTTTGCTACAAGGTTCTAGAAGATGGATTAACTCTCAAATGAGCCCCTACTTTTTCAATTTTGATAATTAAACCCGAAAATTCAGGTGCAGGTATTATATCGTATATGCAGTGAATTTGGATACTACCCAAAATATAAAAGACTAAATTGCAATAAACTGAATACTTAGGCAAAATATAGAATATTAAATTCTAATAAAACAGAACAAGTAAACTAATTAGCCAAAAATAAGAAAATTGTGTGAATCAAAAACTACTTTGCGGAACAAAACTTGTGCCCTAACAATATCACCAAATACTTCCGGATAGATAGAGGACTGTGTGACTATGCAGTATGCATACCAAAATTATGCGGAAACCGTGTTCTATAAATTATGCAGAAACTGTATGTTGCATTATTTTTCACGTGTAGAATTGTTAGAAATCGGGTTGCTTATATAGGCTCAACACCATGAATTCCATTAACTCATATATAATGGCAATCAATATTGGAGTTTCAATAGTTTTGGAATTCAAACGGTCAGCTCGAGGAATTAGCAAAACGTAGGCCTTTTTATGAGGCCAATTTCCACGCCCAAAGCTTATTTTGGTTCGATTTACCCGTTGTGCGCGTACGTACAGAGAGCATCTATGCTACACATGATCATAACATTCTAAAGTACAATCCTATTTAATGCGGTATTTGCTTGTAAATGATTTCCCTTCAACAACATAAATTTCTTTCAATTAGTACACTTTGAGCTCCAATTTTTCATTCAGCAAAACATCATTTTTGGCAAATAAATATATGATTTCGATTTTTTCATGGAGAAGAACACAAATCAATCTTGAACTTCCAAAATAACCAACAAGTCCCACTCAAATTTTGTGCAAAAATTAGCCACTCAATCTATTTTTTCCAACAGAATGAACTGAGAAAGTATATTACAATCACTATAGCATCTCACATCAAATTAACCAAATACATAAAAATCATTTCATTCATATTAAAATAACTTCAAAAAATTACTTGTGCCATTGCTACAACACATTGTAACACTGCAACAGAAGTGAAACAGAGCTTAAAAATCTTTAGACGATTTCCATGTTTTCTGCAGTAGCAAAATATAATAAGCATCAAATAACCATCTTTTTATGTTCTCTTTAGATGGAAAAAGTAATTGTGACAAAGAAACAAAATCTTCACCTTGTTCTACCTCACTTATGCTTTAACTAGATTCAATTTTAATCTTCCTGAGCCTTGTTAAAATATCTTTCATATTTGGCCTTTCCTCGAACAAATCAGTTGTGCATTCTAGCGCCAGTCCCATGACCAATCTGAAGAAGCTCTCTTTGGCTCGAACATTATCACCAACTGCATTTAATAGATCTACATCCACTATGTGCATTATTTCGTCTCGGAATGATTCAAACACCCATCTCCTTATAGTAAAGTCTCCAACAAACATATCATCTGTTGGCTTCTTATTGGTAAATGTTTCTATCAACATAATCCCATAGCTATAAACATCTGCCATAGGCGATATTAATCCTGTCGATCCATACTCTACAAAATTGGCATATGTGATGAAATTAACAAGTGCAATTTTAAATGAAATATAAATATATTGTTAAATTTACATTTACGAATAATTATGTGAATAACATTTCTCCATCTATAAACTGTTGACAGAGCCATTTACCTGGAGCCATATATCCAATGGTGCCCAATGTTTTAGACATCAAAATTCTCCGGTCTTCTGTGAAAAGCTTGGCAATGCCAAAGTCCGCAACATGGGCAACCATATTTTCATCTAAAAGTACGTTGCTAGGCTTCAAATCACAATGGACAATTCGATATGCATTCCCATGATGTAGATACTCCAATGCACATGCCACATCTATCATTATTTCCAATCTTTGAGCTATATTCAGAAAGTAGTTGCTTGAGGACATCCATTTGCTAAGGTTTCCATTCGGCATATACTCCAATACCAAGGCTTTAAGATCAAGGTTAGAGCAACTACTAATTGCCTTGACAAGATTTCTATGACGAACGTTGCACAGAATTTGGCACTCGGTATCAAAATTCTTGATTGCACCTTCCAAATCTTGATTAAAAACTTTAATAGCAGCGATCATACCATTTGAAAATATTCCCTTGTATACTAAACCAATACTGCCTTTGTCAATCAGATTCTCTTTACCAAATTTATTGGTAGCATATAGAACTTCATAATATGAAACCCTCTTGATGGTGGCGGGAGGAGTAGACAGAGCTGGAAGAAGTTTATTTCTCCCACGACATCTTATTAAATAAACTACACCAATGGCCAAACTGAATATCACAACAATTGAAGGTAAAATGTACTTCAAAATTGTGGTCTTGCTAGATAATCTAGTTCTATTTTCTTTGCATGGCTTGACCTTAAATTGAGATGCTCCGCAAAATTCTTTATTGCCTATGAAAAACTTCGAGGTAAAGTTCTTAAAAGGCCCTCTATTTGGAATTTCACCACTGAGATCATTGAACGAAACATTGAAATACTCTAGGTACTCCAGCTTTACCATTGACATGGGGATTACACCATTGAGATTGTTGTTAGACAGATCCAAACTTTGCAAAGCAATCAAATTACCAAACGACTCAGGTATAGAACCATTTAATCGATTGTTTGACAATGTTAGATATACCAAATTCTGAAGTTTCCCAATAGTGCTTGGAATCTCACCTGAGAACTGATTTCCTGATAGATATAACTCTCTCATCCTGATCACACTACCAATTTCTGGAACAAGCAAACCATTGAGAAAATTATACGACAAATCCATTATTTGAATTTCTCTGTTTGCCCATAGTGTGGATGGGATGGTTGAAGTCAATGAGTTGTTAGCTAAATAAAATTCGCGTAAAGAAGTAAGATTTCCTAGACAAGTTGGTAGCTGATGAGAAAGCTGATTTTTCTCCAAATCTAGTTTATAAAGATTCACCAAATTACAAAGGTTGTCAGGTATTGACCCACGCAAGTTATTTTCATCAAGCAACAACTTTTGCAACTTACTCAATTGACTCAAAGTGTCAGGAATTTTTCCTGTGAACTCATTGCCTCCCATTTGTAGCCAGATCAAGTTGCTCATATTGCCAATTTCTCTTATAATCATATTTTTTATGCCACAAGAAGGCGCATGAAATATTTGAAGAGATGTCGAAAAATTACCCAATGCTTTTGGAAGTGTTCCATCAAAAAAATTGTTACCAATCCACATGCTCTTCAAGTGTCTACAATTTGACAACGAAACTAGAAAATCCAAACCATGCATTGAAGGATCATTCGTCAAGAGATTATTAAATAAGTAGAGATATTGTAGGTCATGTAAATTCCCAAGATTAATGGGTACATGTCCACTGAATGAGTTATTGAAAAGCTCCAACACAATAAGCTTAGAACAATTTGAAATCCATCTTGGAATTTCTCCACTCAATCGATTGCCACCAAAATAGAGACCTTCGAGATTAGGGAGCCCATTGGCTAGTGATAATGGAAGATTGCCAGATATATTATTGTATGTAAAACCAAGTATTTGCAACATGGAGTGATTGAAGATGGTTTGAGGTATTTGACCATGAATACTGTTGTTAAAAACATCCAACACCTTCAAATTTGACAAACTGCCAATTGAATGCGGAATTGTACCTGTAATGTGTGTTTGTCAACACACTCAAGTGAATCTTTAAAGTAGTAACAAGTAGTAGATGGGTACCTGTCAACATGTTCGATTCCAAATATAAATGTTGAAGTGTTGAAGAGTTTCCAATTTCATAAGGAATGCTTCCTGTGAATAGATTTTAAGATATTAAAAAATAGAAAGTCAAAAGTCAAAAATATTTAAAACTTTAAAAGGTTATTATTAAACAAAAAATAATAATAATAATAATAAAATTGAAAGTATGACTAATCCAAAGCATTTAAAGTATCAAATTATATTATTCAAATATTAGGGGATCTAATATTTATTTCTAAAATAAGACTGATTTTAGAATGGCACTGTATGAAGAAATTTAGAGCATTAAATTAACTAATAACCAAGCTCACCTAATATCAATTTAGGTCGGAAAATAGTATTGGATAACTCCTATAACATTTACAATTTTTAATCAAAATACTTCAAAAAACGAAGCACATCATAGCAGAAATTTAAAAGCTAAAAACTAAAAATAAAATATCAAAGAAAATCTCAAAGGCATCAAAATTTCCTCTTCATAAAAAGCGGTATAATTATATGTTTAATAAAACACAAATCATTTATCATAACAGAAATTGCATTATAGGTCCCTAAACTAACAAATATTTACAACTACAAAAACTAAATCCAATTAATAATGAAAAGATAATAAGATGTGGGTTAAATATCTCAATATCTACTAAAATTTCTCAAATATTTTCCGATAGCCATTGAAATATTAGATGTTATGTACAGTGGGTCATTTCACAATTGAGAAAGGAAAAAAAGTTGAAAAAAAGTCATATTGAATATTGCATTTTTTAAAGAGCATGTGATGATATCATTAATTTTTTATATCGAGGTTATAAAAGGTGCGAGACATGAATCATGATAAAGGTGCAAGATCAAACTCAAGTTTTATGAGCCCAAACATGCCTTGGCTAAGCCTAGACGTAATAAGTTTTTTTTTTTTTTTTTTTGAATATTATTTAATTTTCTAAGAAAATTACATCTATATAAGTTCATCATATTAGTCATTGCAATTAAAATAAGCTAGCAAACAACTAATCATGATTTCTGCAAGTGCTGGCTTCCAGTTTGTTTGTGTTTTTATTTGTGTGTTAAAGTATGCGATCTGAGTTGCGAATGCAAACTTACCTAATCTAAACATAAATTCTATTTTATTGCAGAATATGTGTAATAACTCTATGCACCCTTTTATCTAAATGATATTTAATTAAGGATAAATAATAACTCCAATGAGAATGGAATATTTAGTCTAATGCGTGTAAAAAAATAAAAATAAAAATAAAAATTGTACATTTTTTAATGCAAGAGTACGTTAGAAACGAAGTGGGCTCAAGGTAAAAATAAGTGTAGCTATATATACGAGGACATATTTCATGGGAAGCAACATGAGGATAGGTTGAACTATTTATGTTGTTAAGGAACAAAAATATTGGTCCATTTTCACAACTTTTGGAAAGCATTATCTAGTGTTTTAGAAGATGTATATATAAGAACAACGCTTTAAACGTACCTATCAAATTATTTCTTGTAAGACAGAGAATTTGAAGCTTTGACAAGTTCCCGAGTTCTATTGGAATGCTTCCAGCAAAATTATTGTGTGATAGAGAAAGTAGTTCAAGATTTGTGCATGTTCCCAAACTTGGAGGAATGTTTCCACTCACCTGATTTGAAGCAATTATTAGCTTCTCTAGCTGTGGAAGATTGTTACAGATATCCGTGGGAAGACTCCCAGATAGACTATTGTTTGTTAAATCAATTTCTATCAAAGAAGAGATGTTGAAAATCTTGTTAGGAATATCCCCATTGAGTATGTTATGAGAGAGATTTAACATTTGTAGATTTTCAAGAGATCCAAAACTTGATGGAATTGAACCATTTAATTCATTGCACTGCATCTCTATTTCTCGAAGTTGGCTCAAATTACCCACTTCATGAGGGATAGATCCCTGGAAATTGTTGTTGCCAATAATCAGGGATCGCAAAAAAGAGAGTTCACCAATCTCTTTTGGAATAGTACCTTGCAAGCCCATATTTGTTAGATGTAAGCCTCTAACTCTTCGATGTCTTTTGCCACAAGTAATACCAATCCAATTACAGAAAGAGGTTCCTTGTGACCAATTTTTGGCCAGGATTTTATTTGGATCAGAAATTTGAGATTTGAAGGCTAGAAGAGCATACTCTTCAGTAGAGCTATTTTGAGATGCAACAACATAGATAAGCAAATAAAGCATTGTTAGCAACATAAAGATGACATTTTTACCCACGGCTAATTTGAAATGCATAAAGAAGATTGGGAGGTGGCTGTAATAAGGTGTTTGATATAACTCGTAAGTGTATTTATGTTATGAAATGAAAGCTCCCTGCAAGATAAGGTAGTATATGGTTAGGAGTTGTGCTTAGGATATTTATATCAAGGGATTGGTGCTCAATATTGCTCCATTAGCCTAGGGACAGAAGGGTCAGCGGTCACGATGAGCCGCCGTTGTGGAATAACGACAGTCAAGTCCAACCACCTTATTTGGTGCCCAATTACAGTTTTTTTTTCCTCTGATAATAATTAACGTGGCAACAAAGTAGTAGTAGGTCTTGCTATTCATTGAACTCTCTCATTGCAACTTTTCAACGCCTAGAAAATGGCTCCTCGACCTAATACTTGTCTCCTCTTTGATTTAAACTACACCATTTCTCAGAAACACACATGCTCTCTCTCCCCACAATTACGAAAATTTGCATATTGGAAGTGTAAATTTTGGTGAATAAAACATCCCGTCTCTTGAGTATATATGAAAAATAATAATTAGTGTATAAGATTCCACTTCTTTTCAAAATTAAAAGAAAATTTGCTTCACTATCAATTTTGAGAAATCTATTGGGATCTTAGATTTTTCTTTTAACTTCATAGTGAAAATTGTGAAAGATTGTCTATGCATTCTATAAATAATCCAAAATAATTATTTAACATTTTAAGACTTGATTATCCACTAATACCCCACATTTTAACTTAGATTTCATTGTAAGAGAGTGGTGCTTATCACTCTATTAATTGTTGACTCCAGTTCTTTCAAAAAATAAAACAAAATTTGCTTAACTACCAAACTCAAGAAATCCATTGAGTGCATAGTTTTTTTCTTTATTTTCATCATGGAAATTGTGGAAGTTTTTCCACAAATAGATGTTCTTTCTGTAAATAATCCTAAAGATATTTAACTTTTTGAGACTTCATTTACCACTAATACCCTACATTTTCACATATGTTTGTGCTTATTGCTCCATTAATCATGTACTCCACATCTTTCCATAAATAAAACAAAATTTGCTTGACTTCCAAACTTGGAAAATTGATGGGTGCTCAAATTTTTCTTCATCTTCATAGCGGAAATTGTGGAAGATTTCTCACGAATGAAATTTGCATTTGATAAAAAATTCAAAAGAATTATAACTATCAAAGACTTCATTGTCCTTGACTATCAAAGTTGAAAAAAACCCATTGGGTGCCTAGCCTTTTCTTTGCCTTCATTGTGGAAATTGGAAAAGTTTTTCCACGAATGAGAGTTGAAAACTATAAAAATAAAAAATTATTTAATTTTTAGAGATTTCACTGTAACTACTACCCCCACATTTTCAAGTAGAATCCCGGAATTTTTTTTCGTTTAGATATTTTACAAAGATAAAAGTAGCTAAAATGTGTATCTCATCAAAACTTAAAATTGTAAATCCATGAAGGTTTATTATTAAGGCAAATATAGCTTGGATTTAAGTTATTCAAGAAATGTTATTAGGATTAGGATTAGGATTAGGATTACAGAGAACAATACATTTTTATTCTTTAGCAAAGTGCACGTAAGTTCAAAATAAGTTTTTTAATATTGCCTATAAACCATTTTTACGTGAGAAAATTTGTCTTATGAGCACAACAATGACACTTACGAAGAGTGTAAAGATTATCGAACTCAGTGAATGATGAAGGCATTACAAGGACACATTATATTTAGTGGCGGGAGAAAACTGAAAATACCACAGCTAAATTCATCTCAAGAAAAGAAAAGAGTAAAATGTGAATCAGAAAATAATATCAGCAAGACATTATTGCACTTCTCCAAAACTTTGATATGAAATGTTACTGAATCTTGGCCTACAAAATGCATAAAATTTTATAAGCTTTGGTGGGGATAGCCGAATGGTTCTCTCAAACTATATCACAATATTGGAGGACTTGTTGAGGGTGATATCATACTTCACCAGGAACCACTTCATGTCTCACACGGTAACCTAAGCGCTACAAGACAACATAGAAATCAATACCATAAATACCAGTTGAAATCAATATCGTAAATAACAGTTGAAGGACAGTACCTGGAAAGAATAGTGAATAACACGATGTAAATAGGGCTGTAAATGGATCGGAACAACTCAAATTCGATTCAATTCGTTAAGAATAATTATCCGATCCGATTATCTGACGGATATTTAAATGTTAGATCCATATCCGATTAACTATGTTATCGGATATCCAATCCAATAACTTGATCTGAGATTGAAAAACTTAGAAAAATAAAAATTTTATTTATTTTTCATTAAAAATCATTGTCTCAACAAGATTTTAATTATTTAGATATTTTAAAAAATATTTGAATTATCTTGATGGGCTCGCTTATTATATTAAGGGCCCAAATCAATTTTTTAATCCAAGTGATTCTCATTTAACTCCTTTTTAAAGAAGACTCCTCTTGAAATGTCTTAATGATATTCCAATGTGAGGTATTAGCTTTTTAAAGGATTCTCCTCTTCCAATGATTTAGTGATCTTTTAATGTAAGATACTAATCATAATCATTTGTCAATTCTAAGTGTTTACTGGCTTACTTAATTATTTTCATTAAAAATCATAGTCTCAATAGGATTTTAATTACAAACAATATCAATTTGAACAAAGTAAATTATTTTAGACATATTAATTGTTAGTTTTTTTATGCTATAAAATAAATTATCATAGTAAATCTAATCAATAAATTAAGTATTATTTTTATCTGATTTGAATAAAAAAAAATTAAATCTCATCAAGGGCTTTTTTGAGCCACATTATTTTCAAAAAAAATAAATTCTTCAATAGTGATTTGACATCATTTCAACTACACATTCTTAATAAAATAATATTACACGCAAATTTTAAAAAAATTCTTATTTTCTAACGAGATATTTTAAAAAATCTCTAATTTCATGGGTGTCAATTGAAAAATGTCCACTTTTTAAATTTAGCACTAAATTGTCTATTATACCCTTTATAAAAAAAAGAAGCAATTTAGTTATTTTTTCAATTTGTTGCGGATTTCGAGAAGTAGCTTCCATGAGAAGCTATATTAAAATGATGTTTTCGACAATTCAAATGTTATTCTCGATATTTGAATCCCGCTTATATTTTAAAAGTACACATGTCAAATCACAATATTAAATGTTCTTGATATTTCAAACGTTGTTCTCGACATTTTAAATCCCTAGAATGACATTTCATTTCGAATATGACAATTCTCTACATTTGAAATATAATTCTCTACGTTTTTGTGTCAATAAGAAAATAGCATTAATTGTGATTTGACATGTGCATTTTTTAAATAAATATGACAGGTTATGTGTCAAAAACTTATTGGCCAATAAGATTTTTACAAAAATGTCCATTTCTTGTCTTTGTATGGAATCATAAATTATTTACAGGGGTATTTTTGTCCAAAATATTCCAAAATGGACATTTTTGCAAGGATTTGTGAAAGTTGACATTTTTGCAAATGGAAATGTGAAGTGGACATTTCAAGCAATTTTCTCTTTTTTAACAACACATTTTCTATTGATTTGACATGAATAATGCATTTTTTTCCTAGAATGTAGCTCAAACATGGGCCAAAATTTTCAATTAAAAATATTATACTATTATATAATATTATTTATTATTTAAAAATTACGTGTAAAGTATAATACAATTTTAAAAATAAAAAAAAATTGTGTCAAAAATTATGCAATAATATAAAAAAATATAATATATTATTATAATAAATTAGATCAGATTAACCTATATAAATATTTGATTCATTTAGTTAACGTACTATCGGGTTCGAATCTCAATTGAATTATCGGATTGAGACCCTAAATTCATGTTCCATCGGATTCGAATCAAAATCCAATCCATTGATAGCCCTAGATGTAAATGAACATATAAACAACCTTGTTTAGAGGGCCTTTGAGAACACTATAGTTGATTATCCTTGTGAATCTCTATTAACAAATCAGTTTTGACAAAAGCAGCAAATCGTCAAGTGTACATAAAATAGTGTACCCAGCCAACAAAATACCGTATGGACCTAACAACATAAAGGTTTTCAAGAACCTGCAAAAAGCTATAATGACAAGAAACGGACAGCCACCATAACTATCTACATAAAGTAGAAGTTCCAAGCAACTAACAATTTAATTCAATTTAGATTCTGCACAATTGCATACATAAGTGCATATGGACTAGAGGGGATAGAATATGAAATGAGATGTTCTAATTCAAATAAATATACAAATATTTCTTGATGTATCGCAGACAATCTAATCGGAATCACAATAATTTATATGATAGTTAAAAACATCACACAACAACGGATAAAAGTGAACTCAAATAAATCTAGAAGAATTTTCATGGATTTAGCATCATCAAACTATTTGCGAATGAATATTGTCTCGCAGAGTCATGTTACAGATAGATCCACATTACTTCTTTTCAGGATCAATGTGTTCCTAAATATCAATGCCAAAATAACCGGTCTCAGTGAATACAATAGGAAGATAAATGAATAAGATTACAAGAGATAATGGTTGAAATGAAGCAAATTCAAAGTTCGGAGACTAAAGTGCAAATATTCAAAAGTTGTGTCGAACTTGGCGATGATGATTCGATAGTAATATGGGTCAATTGGATGAGAAAAGAAGCCAAAGAGATGAAATATAGTCAAAGTATTATCACATATCAACTTTCAGATGAAAAAGTTATTTGTTGGATTTTCAATCTCAGTTTGAGACCTATTATTAGCATAGCAAGCATTCGAATTGGAAAATTCATATCGCTAAAAGAATTGTATCACTTTGAGTTATTTTTCCAATACACTTTAAATCATTTCAATCGGATATCGAGAGAGGAAGACATGATCAAAATACTAAAAGTTGTCCGACGGGAAAAAGTATATCTACATGGTTCTATAGGTTTAATTAGATGCAACCGCATCTATGCCTCTAGAGCTTTCAAGACTAGCTATGATTTCTTCTATGCAGCCACTTCCATTTGTACTATGCGACCGCATAAGGTGAAATTTTGTTTATTCTTCCAATTGA